CTCGGCGGGCGCAGGAGGTAGGCGCGCGTGAATCCTGCGCGCGAATGTTAGGCCCACCCGACCATGCAAGGGCTTGCATGGTCGCCGGCGGTGGGGAGCGCGTCAGCGGCCCTTGGGGACCATGCAAGCCCTTGCAGTCGCTCTAGCCAAAGAAGCAAGCGGTTGGGAGGCCACGGCGGCGCCTACCTCCTGCGCTTGTCAGCTGGCGAGCCCCGAACCTGCGCCCGTCAGCTGGGAGGTCTGGAGATGGAGACGGCTGGCGTGGAGGGCGATGGGGAAGCGGTGACTCGGCGGGCGGGGTCCTGCCTGCGCGTGAATGTCAGGCCCACCCGCCCCATCTGTAAAAGAAAACGTCTTCCGCCCAAGCATAACCTTTAAGGATTTTAAGGATCTTTGAGAGGGAGAGAGAAATAGAGGGAGAGAAAGAGGGACAGAGAAATAATATAGTACCGGTATGTGCGTCTTATGGTCAGGTGCGTCTTATAGAGCGAAAAATACGGTAGTACACAAACCCAAAATAAAACACATATATTAGCATTATACACTAACACATTCCTGGCATTGGAAGTAAGGTTTTCTGCTATAATTGCTTTTCTGTGGACAGAAGCTCATATTGTTCTGTTTACTGTTTATATATTAAAGCAACATTGAAGCAGAATTAGGAAAACACACTATAAACATCACATAAAATTATGGCTTAATTTATTAAACATGTTACTTCATTTTGTTTTTTTAGGTGACCAAATTAGATCGGGATCCTGCATCAGGTACCGCTTTGCAAGAAATCAGCTTCTGGCTGAATTTGGAACGTGCTCTTTACCGTATTCAGGAGAAGCGTGAAAGCCCTGAAGTTCTATTAACATTAGATATTTTGAAACATGGCAAACGTTTCCATGCTACTGTTAGTTTTGATACAGACACAGGTAAGAGCTGTCCAGAAACATAATTTGGCAGAACTATATATTTTTTGGGGGCCGCCTTAACACTTAGAAATCAAATCCACTTTCTTTTTTTAACACCCAGGTCTGAAACAGGCATTGGAGACAGTTAATGATTATAATCCATTAATGAAAGACTTCCCTCTAAATGATTTGTTGTCTGCAACTGAATTGGATAAAATACGACAGGCATTGGTGGCAATATTCACTCACCTGAGAAAAATCAGAAACACAAAATATCCTATTCAAAGAGCTCTGCGCTTAGTGGAAGCCATTTCAAGAGACTTAAGTTCCCAGTTACTCAAAGTTTTGGGCACACGAAAATTGATGCATGTTGCCTATGAAGAATTTGAGAAGGTAAGTCTTGCTTACATGCAGATAGGAGGAGAGATCAGACTAAACATTTGGACAGAAACAGAGTATTAGCTTCAGCTCAGAAGACATACAACCTACTTCCTACTGCACAAAAACCATAGCATTGAAGCAAATTACTCATGTTGACCATGTGGTGATTCTGCATAATTATTTTTAAAGATAGCTTTCTCACAAATTTCAATTTAGAACTTTCTGAAATTTTGGGGACATAATCAAACAGCCCTGAAATAGTATTTGTTCCATAATGGCTGATTACTAGTTGTGTCTCTATAAATCAAGAAGTAGACTATGTAGTGCATAATAAACTAAAACAATTACAGGATATATTCATTTCCTTTATTCAACATTATTTCAGGTCATGGTTGCGTGCTTTGAAGTCTTCCAATCTTGGGATGATGAATATGAGAAGCTGCAGGTCCTACTAAGAGACATTGTGAAAAGAAAGCGCGAAGAGAATCTGAAGATGGTATGGCGTATCAATCCTGCT